CACAGAAAGACGAAGATGGATTCCTGTTAATCTACACTCGAGTGGTTCTACCCTCACATTCAGGCGTGTGCAATCCATGAGACATCCTACCTTGGTTCCGGTGTAAACGGGCTTGGCTTCCGTCCGTCGCGCGGGTTAACAGGCATCCTCAGAAACAGATAATATTATAAAAGCCATCAATCGGTCAAAAACTCCAACCTGAGCTTCTTGGTTGGGAAGTTCTTTCTGTTGTTGCATGTTCATGGTAGCAACAAAAAGCAAGGAATAAATTTTGTTCCATTTCGTATCAATTTAAGAATTTGCAAGCTTAATCATTTTCTGGGCGTGTATAAGTTTGTAGTTCACCAGCACCACCAGCAATAGTTGAGAAATTAGAAAAGACATCACAAGGTTTAACAACTCAATAATGCCGTACCTGCAGTTGTCTAGTTCTAAAGATATGATTAGTTTCACGAGTCCAACTGACCCTCGCAACGAATGAGGATCCTCACCGAGTCTATTAATAGGTGGAACTAATACTTATTAAGTAAACCAGTATAGCATAAATGGCCCTCAACTATTCCCACATTTATTGCATAAATTCAAAGTCTTCAATAATTTTAAGAGGTTCTTTAATCCTGAGCTCAGCAGCATATGTAACATAATCGACGAAACTAAGTATTTTGGGTCATCCTATCTAGTGTGGTTGATATCGTGTGCCTAACCACTTCTGACCATCGGACTCAAAATCATTAATGGCCATTTTGGGTTCAGCTACCCTACCGTGAATAGAGTGAAGTTTCCCCGACCTTACACATTCTTGTATCAGTTGAGACTTGATGTGCCATATTTCCATTTAAATGTAGTTATAATTGAATAAAGGTACTTTGAGGGCTGGTCTCACCTATTTTCCTACTAGCTCGCTTTCTTTTTGGAATCAAGCTAAGTGGAAAAAGGCTGTTTGCCTATCTTGAAAAAATTAATCCCAACAAATCTATCTACTATTATTAAAATAAAGGGAAAATCTTCCAGCCTATCAAAGTATTCAGTCAAATGATCGATATAAGCAAGCCTCGTACTGGTACCAATTAATGATTTCGAAATCCCAACCTTAGTTTTCCTATTACATTTAAAATTTCAGTTCAGAATAACAACACATCCTAGAGGCATTCCTGCATTGGCAACAAAAAGTTCCAAACAACAAAACCAATATTATTTTCTTTATTCACTTCTATTGATTATGATGCTGGTTGGGTTAAAGTTAGAAATGATATAGTATTACTTTACGAAGAAGACAAATAATAAAAATATGGTCATTTACATATGTATCTAACAGTTTATGGACCAGTACTACTCCTTCCATTAGGCCTTCAAATTGAGACATGCAATTATTGGCAGAATAAAAATCATTTGAAAGTATTTATACATTTTTACAGCTTCCAGTCAGGCGGGATAACGAATTCCCTCTTGACATATTCTCAAACTAAAGGAAAGTTAAAATAAGCGAGCCTTATGATAAATTAGATGAAAACAAGTGACTAAAGAGACAGAGCTAATCGTATCTAAGGTTCTCAGATTTCTCGGTTCGGAAGGGCTACATGTAATTTTCAGCAAACCCGCGTTAGCACCCGTTCTGATCTGACTAAAATTGTTGAAAAAGAACCCGTTTATCCTTCAAATATTATAATTCTCTCCAATATCAAGCATAAGGCAAATAGTGGAGGACCGTCAGCTGTCTATGCTTCTTCTAAAGAATCCAAAGTTTTATAGGTCTAGTGCAAGTCTATCTATAGTGGCATTTTCATTAAAAATACCAACCCCAGCTTAAACATTGGCTGCAGATTGTGGCTGAAAGTGGTTAATGAACTTCATGAAAAGACCTGAATAAAAATTTCGAACTTTCAACGATTGCCTAAGCTCGATTTCAATCCGGAATGGGAATATATCACTGGCGAAATGTTCCAAACTTCTAAGGCTAAATATAGCGACATTTGTGAAGGTGTCTACTGAGGTGATCTATGTTTGACACAAGTAGACAGACAAAATAAGACGTTTAGGCTGCCCTGGACAAAATCTAACTAATAATTACTGCTAAAGTTTTGCGTAGCCGCATTCCATATTCGGATAGATTCGACGCCTGCCAAAGCACTCGAAATCGTGCATTTGGGAGCTGCTCGACGATGACTTTGATTGCCTGAAAAAATTTTGCAAGTAACACTTTGATACCTCGAAGAGTAGTACTGAATTAGCGCAGTGTTAAAAACTTGATAATGCAAATTACGAGGTTGAAAGATTTTAATTATGCAAGTTTTCTAATATAATCATAGAAAAGCAATATGTCGACGCAATGAAGCGTGGTAGAACAAGGACTCTTTTGCGAATCAAAATGGCAAACGACCCTATGACCGATGCACTGAAAATTAATCAGACTTTCAATGTAGTGAAACAGGGAGAACTAGGCGGCACAAATGATAAAAATAAGAAAATATATCTAAATTTATTCACCTCGAAGTCATGATTAGAGGCAGAGAAAGAATACTACTGAAATCAATTGGAGCTCCTTCTTGCCTTCTCCTAACAATATTCACATTCGATTAGTAATGAGTAAGAAAACGCATATTAGAAGTGCTCCAAAAGAGTTCGATCAAGAAAATGTCGAGGGGATGTAATAATTGGGCTTATTTTCATTTGGATACATGTGCTAGGTGATGCACGAAAGAGAATAGAAAATAAATAGACCTGAAAAGATTGAATTACTTAAATCCGAGACAAGCTCTTTGAAATGAGAATGAGAAAAGTCAGTCGCAAACTCTTGAATTTAGCGGATAAATTAAAAAAATAATCCATGATTTGACCATAAAATCAAAAAAGGAAGGATGGACAATATGGATCATTCACACAGGATTGGATGGATAGGGCAAAGCAAAGTCTAATTAGTGCTATTTTAAATGACTTATAAACGACACACATCTGCATTCTCGTACACAATCACTCATACGTAAAAAGTTCATGTCTCCACTAATCTGCATGTAAACAATTTCAATATAAAATAAATAAATAAATGTATTCATTGCGTTTAGTTCAGTGATATTCAAAGATGTTCTGGGCAGAGTAGTATCAATGAATCGTAGAAAAAGCATATCCTATCCTAAGAACGGGTACAGGATCAAGCACAAACATCTGATGGAGAAATTGGTCGAATGAAGTTGGCAGAGATAGAAAAAATAAAGATAAACAGACAGATGGATAAAATAAATGGAGAAAACGAAGGCAAATTCAAGAACAGCTCAGCTGGTCAAACGCTCGCGGAAATTTTGTAAGCTGGCATAATCGTTTAAGCCTTTATTTATTTGAGGGTGCATAGCTGTCCTTGTTTGCCTGTATATCCATCTGCCTATACTAAGCTGGCTGACATTCTTAGTTTGAAGTAGCCCTCAAACACCAAGTATAGGAACGGAGTAGAAATAAGCATTTAAACAATTAATAAGCCAACTTCGAATTGCTACCTCGGAATTCTGTGATCAGCAGCTGCCAAAGAACATGAATCTTATTAGTCGATTGTGAAAAATAAAATAGGTATGAGAACCCAAATTATGCTCCCTGGAAGCACAGGAAAAGAAGCAATACAAATCAGGATATTCAGGGTGAATGAAGAGGAACATGGTTGTTGGCAAAATAAATCATCCAGGGCACTAGCTGAAGCAAGTAATCAGAGCAAGATGAAGTGGACTAGGTAAGGGCAAGGAACATAAGATGAGAAAAAGAGAACAATTAAGGAGTGAAAGAAGGACAGAAGATCTTGGACAAAGAATAAATGATGACAAGAGGCCATGGACAGTTAGACAGATGGTCGGAGAGAGTAAACCGAGACACGGAAAGAATGATAATGACGAGGAAGGAAGACATTAGCTAATTCGAACCTAGAAGAAGGTGAAGGGAACAAAGTCTTGGATTGAGACTCTTTGGTTTTCTTATGAATTCGAAATACGTGCGTGCGAGAATAAGTGAACTCACAGATATACATAGTGAGAGAGAGAAGCTAAAAAAATGAAAAAAAGTGATTATGACTAGGAGAAGTGCGTTAGAGAAGTAAATATAAGTTTCCAGACTTTTATGAGAAAATGGATCGGCTCAAGTTCGGCTAGCCTATTGATGACTGTTTAAGGTGTTAGAATCTTTGACTCATAGGTCAACCAATTCTTTATTAAGCATCAGTCACAGTTTCAAACTCTTGTATGTGAAGATTGTGAGCATCCGAAAAGCTATTCTCGTTGCCATGTACGACATTAGCTAACTCCGAGCTGCTGGATGAGGCCAAGTCTTGTTCTAAGACACAACCATGGTGATCAAATTGGTCAAAGTATGCTGTATAGAGGCAAAGAAAAATAGAAAAACAAGGAGCAAGATTAAGTAATAACAAACAGATAATGTTAAGATATGTTATTTGCAACTAATGGCTCCTTTATCAGCTTCTCATAAAGGGTAAATTTTATAATGAATAAGGCCAATTGGCTAAATTGGCTTGCATCAGCATGTGCAAGCCAGAATAAGTATTCTTTTGACATAAAACAAGAAGCATAATATATAAAAGTGAAGTAAAAGTGTTACTATATGTTTAGAATTGGGAAGCTGATATGAAGACCTAGTTATGTCTATACTCTTTCTAAGTCTGGCTTATGTTAATAGTAAGATAGTCTCACAAATGGGAATGAAGAATAACATGCTAAAAGGTCTCTTAATATGCTTTTAAATAGGATCTATATTCACCCCAGGTAGAATGAGATGATGAATAAATGAGTTCAATATTCCCATGATGATAAAAGTAGACCTCAAGGTGCCCAGTAGTTCATCCTGGAAGATGGGAAAGGCTAAATGGTAGCTTGAAGCCTATTCATATTGTGGAAAAATTCAACTATACATCATTCGTCACATGCAACCTGTTATTTTAAGATAAAGGAAATCTATCGAATTTTTATTGCTTTTCTTGATCCATATGATAGACCTTTTGTTATCTCATTGGTCTTAACGTCAAAGATATTGGAATAGATAAGAAGGAAAATCCAGAACAAGCAAAAGAGGTCCGAAAGCAAATTATGTAGAATCATTATTGCTTACATTAACCCTAAATAAGTACAATAAAACTGTACATTCTGATATAGAGGCCGATCTAAATTTATTTCGAGTATTTGTCAGACGAAGGAAGAGACAGAGTGACTTGACCAGTCATCGCACAATTAAATGCCCAGGCTCCTATGCAATCAGTGGTTCCAAAGTTGGTCATTAAAGAAGCTCTAATAATTACGGTTTTATAAAAAGAACCAATGGCATAATAGTGAATGACAAACAGCCTATTTTGGGCAAATAATTCTAATTGTTTCGAATGCTACTTTGGACATAATAGATGATCACGAAAAAAACAAGTTCAAGTCTTTCGGCGACCTAAAACGCGTACAGATACAACCAGAATCTGGAAGTCAAGAAAGCATTTTGGAATGCTTATAAATGCCCATAAAAATATCCTTCTTAGTCTCATCAAAATACATTAAAGATCCCCGGTTAGATGAGGGAAAGTATGTGGGATACGATGTCATAAAATAAACTGGACTAGAGACTAACGTTCCAAGGTTGGTTTGTACCCGTCGCTTCCACTTTCGCGCCTATAACGGTTCTGATGCTCCTGAAAATCCTCCTCAGCTAACTGCTCATTCGTTTTTCCAGATGTCAGATGGCGACCATCAAAGCCAATCCCCACAGACGGGCAAGAAGCATCCGACATACCCTTCTCCTCGGATAAATCGCGGTAATTTGATCGACCAGAAGCCAAGTTTTCGGGTGCCCGAGTCGAAGGATGTGGCTCTAGAGGAGAGATGTTCGCGTGAACATCTAACCAGATAAGGATATAAAAAAGTATTATCCAAATAGGCCGAGGCATAAACTTAGTATAAACTGCTAGTAAGGAGAAAAAAGAAGGCAATTAGAAACGAAGATTAAACTGTAGGAGCAAACGGCAAGAGAGATGCTCCTTTAACGGCATTTAGTGTCGCCATTATGCGGTGATGAGAAAGTAAAGTCTTGTGGACGTATGGAGGTGTGTTGAACCTTGCTTATTTGCAAAGCAAGTTGAAGATGGACATCTGGCACTTGAAAGTCCAAACAACGTTGCCAAAAAGTGGATACATGAGGCGTAGATACCACACGATGGCGAGGCAAAAACTGAAATTGACAAGGGTCCTGAAGATGTCATTGTGAATTAATTGGGAAGCCCTAGAATTTTCCACAAGTCTAGAGAAACAGGGATTTCCATGTGCGTAATGTGTAACGATGGCTAGCCACCAGCTGTAATACAATTGTGCACAATAAGTATGCGTGGAGAATACTTGTATTTGTAAATGAAAACCTTAGCTAGACAGAGAATGAAAAGTAGTATTTGCCAGAAAAATCGACTCTATCGTGATTTCATCAGGAAAATTATTTAAAGGCTTAATATGCACCCTTTTTAGAATGCCTCTAATTGCTAAGAATTTGTATACCAAAAGATTTAGTAGAGGGAGAGCTTAACTTGCAAGTGGGATTAAATAGTACCCTCTATCACAAATATTACATAAACGCCAATACCCAGAATATAAAATTGAAACCGAATTTATACCCGTACAATAAAATTGAATTTTATGTCTACTATGGTGACCACCAGAGGAACTTTGAGTGCGTAGCACGTTGGTAAGCCTGCCAACCTCGGAGCTCACTTACCCTGGGTTAAGCCTGCTTTGAAGATGACCAGAACTAGTACATTGTAACGTTGATGAATGCCAACTTCTGAGAGGCGCACTAGTCCAAATCCCAAAGCTAAAAAGTATTATTGTTGCCAAGTTATTAGTTCCAAGGGCGTCATTGATAAACCTTTGTATCTAAAGCAAGAGTTTTGGTTCCTTAGGCCATTGCTACAATTAAATAGTAATGGTATTTTCATATTGGTATCAGATGATAGAGATTATATAGTCTTTACCAGTATATATTTAAATAAAACGAGTAGAATTTATTATAAAATAAAATTTTAAAAAGCATTCCTGAGGCTCTCATTAGGCTACATACAATCATCGATTGGCTTTAGTGGAACATTCATGGTGACACTGTTTCCGAGGTAATCTCCTTCTATTCCGGTGAAAAGGTACCAAGCTTTCGTCCGTCATATGACGAACATAATCAGAGCAAGGAATCATCGTAACAAACAAATTTAAGCTAACGAGTCAAGAAAATTCACCGGCAAATCCTTAAAAGCTGTATATGTACTTTATATCTAGCCTCCTTGATCAGGTATAAAGTGATGTGGTCATATATCAACATCGAAACCTGTGAGATTTTTTGACCTGTTAGCTTAAATTTGGTTGTGACGATGATACCTTGCTCTGATGATGTTCGTCATATCACGGACAAAAACTTAGCACCTTTTCACCGGAATCGAAGAAAATTACCTCGGAAACAGCGTCACCATGAATGTTCCAATAAAGCCAATCGACAGTTGGTCAAGAGAAATCCGCCGTCGTTTTCTGATGGAATCGACCTTCGAATCTCTTTACTAAACACTTTTACTCGAAATGGAAGTAAGCTCAACAATTATGAAACAAGAGATTCCTCGAAACCCTACTTTTCTTCACGTAAACATACAGTCAGCTTAGATCGAGTCTTCCACAACCGGCATTATTACCACTTCTATCCTAAACCATAGAAGGTGAAATATATATCCAGAATTATGCCTTTAACTACTAAAAAGAATAACATGAGTGAAGGTCGAGTGGATGATTGAGAGCCATTATGCGAAATTCCATAACAAAAACTGGCATTTTTAGATAAAATAAGCAAAACATTCAAGCAAAAGAAGATATAATAATGTATGGACGATTGTGCGTGAGGATAGATGAATAAGCAACATTTTAGTAGAATGTAGTAACTATAGTTAGCTGCTAGTGGTGTCAAGGGAAGTGGGTTTGCTTTTGTGTTAACAAAAGTAAGTTTCATCGTTAAACAGTGATAAACCGAAATGAATCTCAGCAGCCAAAATAGCCGTTGTTGCTGACAAGATTGCATGCAATCGACAACTCACTTACGACAGTATTCTACCAAAGAAGAATAAAATGATAAGCAAATAGTCAGAAAGAGAGGAATATATGCTCACATGTCCAAAAATAAAGCAATTTTTTGGATAAATTAGTTAAATAAGAAAACTTAAGCCATTGCATGCAAATGGAGGATTAAAAGTGGATACGAAGATGGCACATGATTAGTTCAAAACTAGCCTGATAATTCATCATAAATGACTAATTATTCCCCGCCAATTTGCATCAAAACAACCACATTATTTTTGACTAAATATTTAGAGACCAAAATAACGCAAGCTAGTAGAACTTATTCCAAGGTACACGAAAATTTATTTGCGATGCGAGCATCGAATCTGCCTGGAGAATTTTCTAATCATAGAAAAAGAAGAGAAAAAGTCGGAAATATAGCGATTTGATAAAATGCGATGCACGTTCTTGATTATCTATAAACATCTTATTTGGCAGAAATTAGATATGATAGAAGACATCAGAGGTTCTATGAAAGAACTTAAATCCCTGTGTATCTTTTTCGGCGCTCGAAACAGGGGTGGTTCAGCAACTTGACCAAGAAGATATCAGCAACCATAGTTATTAGTCTATATGGTTATATACATTATTTTGCTTGAGGATATGAAGACCAAGATGGTGTGGCCTAAGTCATGGTCAGAGTCTCTTTTCGATGTACAGAAGTTGGCTGATCTCGTTTTCGTAGTTGGGTCGGGTTATCATGGTGAATTGGTTTGACATACCTTGTCGGAAGTCCTATGATATAATAGTTATTATAATTCACAGCGCCGGACCGTACATTCAAAGACGTATCACCGTTATCGTAATAGGCATCGTCAGTACTTCTTGCCATTCTTAACACTAAGCTACAACTCGTCAAAGGGACAAGTGAATTCAATCCCTTGACGAAGAACATTGCAAATTCCTGAATAGCAGGTACCAAATAACGATCTGGTATGTCAAAGCCATGAGCACCAGATAATCAAGAATGAAGCACCGCTCATCTGAACCTTCCTCATTACAGATTAGGAAAATGAAAATTGACCAAATAATGTCGCCCAATTCAAGTATCAGATCGAACTTTGCTTGTATGACCCACAGTTAATCAGGATGGATGAGGGAGCCTAACATCTCGCACGAAGGATAGAATTTATATTATATGGAGATGATGGGCCATAAATACGTTTGCCGAAAAATAAGTGAGTCGATATTCCATAGTTTATCCAAATATTTGTTCATTACCGTTGAATGTGAGGTAAGTAATCCTTAATATCAAGTCGATCATTCATGTTAAAGATTCCTACCGGATCAACTCTGTATCTAAAAATATCATTTTCTTATTCCGTGATCTCCAGTGTAACCAGAATGAGTAAAAAATTTCCAACACTTCCGTTCTTTCCCGTCTTGTGTTTCTGATCCTTTGAGAAAATTAATATCAATCCTTCCTTTTCATATTTATATTTATACACATGCTTCTTCTGTAGATGCTTACGATAAAAAAAATAAAAAACTCACCAGCCAGATAAAGAGGCTTTCTATCCTCGGGTACAGAGGCGACCTTCGATGATCGTTGCCAGACGTCGGTGTAGCTGTGCTGTTCTGCTACCCTATCGGGAGATTGAAACTTGCGGCGTCCCTTAGCTAACATATATGCTTTCTCATCCGGTGATGTGCCACAGTTCCGTGTATCAGCGGTTGCAACCAAGCTAGTTGCAAGGCCTGTCTCCAGATCATCTTGGTAGAGCGGGATATTCCGGGGAGCATTATGAGAACCGTTGACGCATGGAGACGAGTTAAGTAGAGTATCCCAATCAACAGGCAATTCGGTCTGATATGCAGTACTGCTGGGGTTTTCAAGTCCGCCATATTTGAGACCTCCATAGTTTGAATTATGGAGCTTAGCTTTTGAACGGTTAGTATTTGAAAAGTGGCGCTGAGGCAATCCAGACTTGCTGGTTGATTGGTGACGCCCGGAAGAGAAAATGGATGTGAAGGAATTTTTGCTGGTTTTTTGGCCGAAGTCAGTAGGCGGTGTAGCGTAGTTAAGAGGACCAGATCTCAGGTTTGATCCAGTGGTTGCTAAAAGAGAGGTAAGTTGTAAATAGGCATAGCCATTCTCATAGTGAGCTTAAGCAAATTATTAATTATTATTTATTATTTATAAAGGCAACACTTAAAATTAGGCAGCCATCTCATACACATGATTAAGTTAAAAATATGAAAGTGATAAATAAATAAAAAGGCATACTGGATTCAACCAAGCCACTATCCGGGACTGTCGAAGTCTTCCTTGCCTTAATTGGCAGGGTCCTGCTTACGTAATCCCTAGAGCCGGACGCACTTTTGGTTAAATGATCAGAGGTTGCAACAAATGGTTCCGAGTTTGAGCCCATTCGGAGGCCTGTGAGCTGAGCCGATAGAGGAACCAGTGACGGAGAACGAACAGGTCCCGACTCAAGACCAGATCGGGTATAACTCGGACGGACGGTCAGAGAGCCGGCTCTAAGGCAGCTCTTGTCAACGGAACGCGATGGTGACTTGCAAGGGCTGATTACAGTTAGACTGATCTATGAAATGAAATATGAAATAATAATCAAAATATTATCTCAACCATTACATTTAGTTAGAAATTAAATGCCAGGTATTCTTATTAATCACCATTTCTATTGGTGCATATATATATATGCATGTATTTATGAATGCATTATAGTATGCTAACGGGCGAAATAAGATAAAAAAGAAAATGGAACACCTGTTAGGCTCTTGGCTAAATACAATAAATACAACGATCAGAGTAAAAACAAAATATAAATATAAATAAAAATTATATATATATGGCCTGGAAGTAGCTACGCCGCAATTCGTGTAAGATAGCAATCAACAACCACATAAGTTGTAATATGATCAAAAATATTAAACAAAAAATACTTTAATGGGCTGAATCATGCAAATATAACAACCAAACTTAACTGTTTCTTTATTTAAAAAAACGGTTTACCAATGAAAACATGAGTATATATTTAAGCAGTTGTTTTATATCTTTTTCACCACTTGGTCATATTGGCAGTGGAAAGCAACCCGTCTGGAGGCCATAGTATGCCTGATACTTTCCAGAGTCGGACTGCGTACTTGGTACATTCACAAACGCTTCGCCGACATCGTCTGTGAATCTTACTAGTCTCAGTACCAGACTACAACGCGTCAGATACAACTGAGGTCAATCTCTTGATTAACGTTTTGCCAAAAAGGTTGTGCTATCGCTCCTTTTCTTGTCCTGGTCCCTTGATCTATCTATTTTGTATTTTATTGTCTCGTCTTCGTCCTATCACAACTTCTTACTTGTTTATATTCCTATCTCCAAGATGTGTGTCCTTTTTACGTATTTACCGTTGCGTCATCACACCTGCTGTTGGCCTTGCCCCCCTCCCTTTCAAATAGCTGATCTGGCTCGGGCCTCCTGTCCAGATCTGCCTCATTTTTGTGTAGATTAGTTTCTTATCTTTCTGGTTGACCGATTTTCACTGCCAGTATATAGTTAACTTTATCGAAGCATATTAACTTTAAAATTCCGACCCAACTAAGATAAATATTCTATATATTCTCAATAAGATCAAAAAATCTTTTAAATTTACTGATATAAGAGAGATGATGATCTAATAACTACTCAAGGTTTGAATAGTGTATACAAGATAAGGTATAAAGAAATATATGTTGAATCGCTATGTTGTTGTAGTATCAGTTAGTGTAGTATGAGTTTGCGAGTTATCTTTGATTCAATATAATAATTTATAAGATATATTCGCCATATTTCATTTAATGTGAAGAAGGACTACTATTTGAATTTTCCCACTATGATATGAATAGAGATGACGTTTTCATTGAACTTCACATAGCCATGCTTTCTCAAAAGATGTTCTCATCCGAGTTGGACAGCATTTTCGACCTCGCCTAGGTCACCATGACAGTGCAACATGTAATCTCGAACGTTAACCACTACGTCGCATTGCTATGATTATCCTTGGGTCACAGAAGGCAGGCGTGAATTTCAAGAAAGACTAGGCATTTTCCATATCATATTCTTTGAAGAGATTGTCGATGATGCAAAGTTATATTTGCTATAACAATCGATTACATTACCCATTTTTCGTTTATAAGTAAGGTATCGAGACTACCAGTAAGCCAGTTATATGGAATGTGTTGATAGTCTCGAAACCCTACTTATAAGCTAAAAATAATATAATGGTTTGCTCCTTTGTAATGTTGTCATGCATAAGAAGTCTTGAAGATCCTGCATTGTGGACAAGCGAGTATTACTTCTAGTTAATTTTATAATCTTAATCTAGAAAACGAGAACAGATATCTGAATGATTAAAGAATAGTCGAAAAATGATATTCTGGCTGGGGGCTGTCAAATTGCTCTATCTAGCGAACTTGGTTTTCTATAGCTAGTGATTTCCTTTACAAATTGTTTATAATCTTAAGGTAAGAATGTTATAAAGCTTTCTTAATACAGTTTAAATAATTATGTGAAATTTCTCCCCCTTAATTTATCAATATAATAAAAACAAAATTGAAAAAATCCTAATAAAATTTGGAATAGAAAAATTTACCATCATGTTCAATTGAATTCACTTATGCAATGCGTTGCTAAAAAGTCATTTATACTTAGAGACTTACCCGAAAAAGCTTTCAGAAATTTTCCAGGGTAGAGCTAATTTTACACGATTGTGACATCTTCGCTTTCCACATAATAGGCTTCTCATAATGATTAAATTGCTCGGTTATTTTAGAGAAAAGGCTACC